GCAGCAGCAGCAGCAGCAAGAAGAAGAAGAAGAAGAAGAAGAAGAAGAAGAAGAAGAAGAAGAAGAAGAAGAAGAAGAAGAAGAAGAAGAAGAAGAAGAAGAAGAAGAAGAAGAAGTCCTTTAATAGCAGAGTTTTTGGCATGATTTCCTTCAGAAAGTGTGGTTCTGTTCTTCCCTCACCTTGAGGGACTCATTTATTTCACAACGCTTTATTGCTCATTGTTCCTCTACTGTTATTTGTACACTTTCCAAGGTGCTATAATGGGAGATAGTGGCAGTATTTATGGATTTTGTTTTGATTGGGAGGGACGTCTTTTTCCCCTATAATGCTGAAATGCAGTACAGAATATTTTTAAAGCGATGATGTTCAAATGGCAAACAATCAGTCTTACTGATTTAAATGGAAAGACAGCTTAGAAGGGAAAAAAAGGAAAGGAAAACAAGACCTAATTACTTAACACATTTAAACTGTGTCAGGGTGTTTTCAATAAATAATTTGAATTAGCATTTTTACTGTTATTATTTGTTATTCATTAAATACTATGCACTTAATCTAGGATTATTCTAGAGAATTTTATTCAGTATAGCACTGACGTTAATCAGTTTTTCACTGATTTTAGTAGATCTCAGCATGGTTGCTTTTCTCTGGATTGTTCACACCATTGGTTTCATCCTGCATTTGTTCTCCCCTTTGATATAAACTGACAAGTGCAATAATGTTTATTAAATTCTTCCCAGCGGGGTGACTTCCAAAAGTGTTGAACCTCAACTGTCTTAATTCCCAGATGGCATGAAATTATGGAGGTTGACTGCAACACATCTGGGGGACACCAAATCGGGGAAACTTCACTAGTCTAAAAACCACTAACATTTAAGGATTGGTTTGAGTTGGCCAATGTCATGTTGCAACATTCAGTGAACAATGACTTACTTGTCTTAGCTTTTAGATCAGATTAGTTAAAAGTGAACTCTGAATCAGATTATTTTTAAAAAATGAAAGCTTATGCTACTTAATATTTCCATGATAAAGGATTATATAGTGGTTAGGCTTTTTTTTAAGTCAAGCTTAAAGCCCATTCTTTCGCAAATGAGAATAATGTAATATTCAATATGTCAACAGCTATGTGGTGAAGAACAAGAAGCTTTTGTTAGCAAATCTGGTTCTTCCTTTGAAATCCAGCACCACCATCTGCTTCACTGTCTGGAAAAAACCACGGTAAGATGATAAACTGGCAGGCTCCTTGTGATCTGTAAAAACAAACAAATATTATGTTGGTTGATCTTTGTCCTATTGCTTTAAGAACTGCTGCATGCTTTGGTCATGCTTATTCAATAAGAGGTCATGAAAAGATATTATTCTGGAATTATTTTGGTGGCATGAATTCAGAGTCATTTGTGACTCACTAGCTCTCTGGGGAATATAGCTTATCTTGTGGTGATTTTTCCTTTTAAACGATATATGCTGGAGCTTGCTCCTTTTCCTAATCCCCAGTCTTGATAGCAAGAAGAAGTGCCAAAAGAAGGAGGACAGATCTGAGTAGAGAACAGATCCAAGGATAGATCAGTGTAGGCATTGCTGCAGTTGTGTTGACTATTGGGAATCTAACACCAGGAGGGGGAATCCTGAGCTAATACCTCAGGCTCTTTCTGCCAGTTCTGCTGACAAGCTGTTGGGTTGGATTCAACATCCTGTTCATCTGATAGCAGGAGCTTCCCGTATGGGAAAAAGTTTCCTTCAATTGAAGGAAGGAAAACTTTGAATCCAATGTTATGATTTTAATATTTCCACTGTTGTTTTTAACTGTTATTTATAGCTTATTAGAATACTAGATCCTATCTATAGTGAGCCTTTATTTAGTTTTTACATTATCTTAAATGTTATGGTTTTCATCTGCTCTTCGAAATTGAGTCAAATAGTTACCTATGTTGAGACACCACCTGCTGTTTTGTGGAACTTTGGGCTGGTAGTGACCAAGCCTCAGTCATATTCCACGGTGCTAAGTTTCATCTTTCTATCACTTCAAAAATTACCTCTGACGCTTTTTATTTATTTTATTTTATCAGGGGGAAAAAATCTTTTCCTTTCAACATTCCTTTTTTCATCTCCCAATTTTTCCCCCTCACCTTTGAGATCAAACAAAACTCATGATTAGCACAGATTTATTATTTTCTTTCATTGTTTTAGTTATCTACGATACCTCAAAGGAGGCAAACTACCATCAGGATCAAGTGCAGTATTGGGCTTAAATTAGTGTTATTATAGGTAACGTATTAGTATTGGTAATTTTTAATAGTAGTTCCATGTATCTTATCAGAGGCTGTCCCTGAGACTCATCTCATTTTAAAAGCGATTGCCTTTGTTGCTCTAAGTGTTAAGTTTAAGAAATTCAAGTCCAAAGATTTCCTTGAATCCAGTTAGGTAGGTCTGTGGGGTTTTGTTGTACTTTAGAAGGGAATTCTGTTCATTCTGTTTAAGTCTGTATAAAGTTTAACCTGAAGTGCTGTGCACTTTTACTCAGGAGTATTTGAACTCTGACTCCTTGTTAAAGAGTGGCCTTGCAAAGACTAAATCAAAGAACACAGCATATAATTACTGTTAAAATTTTACTGCCAATGAAATATGAATATCTTGCATAAGCCACTGTTACCATGCCCATTCATGCTACTTTTTCTTCCTATATCTGTGGGTCAGAATCATGAGTTTGTGGATGAGCAAACCTATGAAGAAAGCTGTATGGAGGTTTCTACTGTCAACCGGCAAGGTAGCCATAGTCCTTCTCTCTCTTCTCAACAAGGAGTGACAAGCTCTTGCTGTTCCCGACGACATAAAAAGACATTCCGCATCCCAAACACCAATATAATCAGCAGCCGTCCAAGTAGTGTCCAAGAACTCAGCACCATTCAAATCAGATGCATGGAAAGAACACCTCTGTCAAACAGGTACTTCAGTTGTAAAAATGCTCCTAGACAGATAAATGATAAAATGTTCAAATACAAAGGGCAAAGAATTAGCAGGATGTATACACGATTATCTGTGTTTGCTTTGTTTCAAATAAAAACCATGGTTCTACTGGAAGGGAAGGTATCATCACTTGTGCTCATGTCATGCTCCCCAAAATGAAGCATAAATAAAAAACAAAATAAAAAGTGGCTGAAATCTCACCAATCTTTTCAAGATCTGATGTGAGAATATTGATATCATATGAGAATTTTGCCATTAAAGAAATAATATGTTATATTTAATCAAGGAGTTTGGTGGGTGCTATTTAAATTGCTGATGCCATACTGTCAAGCTATATTTTAAACATTCTAGAAAAAGCCTTTTCATGCTTAAATTGATAGAACTGAATGAGTATCTTTAATATCAACACAACTCATTTTTGTTAAATGCTGAGCCTTTCTGACAATCCTTTTTTTTTTATTATACCTTCCAATTTATAACTTATTTGATGATTTCATTATGTCAAATTGCCATAAATTTCATGAGGACAAGATGATTTCCAAAGAGACAGAAATATATCGTATTCCTTGAGTGACAATCACTCAGGACTGAGCAAACAACTCTAATTGCACTGAGAAAATCTTATTTGGGAAAATGCTGCTTGAATGTAATGAAAATGAGAACCATTTCTGCCCCCAGACAAGATTGTGATTACAAGCATGCAATTAAATTCTTATGACCCAACTACTGGGAGTTATTTTATAAATAATTATTTAAATATGCATCTCAATTTACTTATATATAGTCAGACTTCCACTTACAACTAATCGTTCAACACATTAACCTGTCCAACCGTTATTTCATTTGAGTGCATGTCCCCCTGAGTGTCAGTCTCTAAATATGATGGCTACATTTCTTCAAAACTATGTTGGATTGTAATCTATTATATAAGTGGAGCTAATGTGGGAGATCCTTTATTTTATCATGGATCAGAGGAAAATACATTAGTGAGTTGGTTTTTTGAAAGCTCTGAACCACCCCAAAACAATAGCCTAGACTCATTTAGCACTTCAGAATCCACCCACTTGAACTAGATAAATATAGAAGATGTTAGACAAGGACATTCAGGAATAGTAAGCATTCACATGCATATAAAGACTTCTGCACATGTGGCCTGACCAGAGGGCATCCTGGGTGATTTCCTGACATAGCAGAATTGAATAAAAACCCAAAGGGATGGAACGTCTACATAATTTGTTTCTGTTTATTTTTCTCTCTTACCCATCTCTAGTCGATCCAGTTTAAATGCCAAAATGGAAGAGTGTGTAAAACTAAACTGTGAGCAGCCTTACGTTACCACAGCAATAATCAGCATTCCAACACCACCTGTGACCACCCCAGAGGGAGATGATAGATTGGAATCTCCAGAGTATTCAGGAGGAAACATTGTCCGAGTATCTGCTTTATAAAAGTCAGAATAAAGACCATTGAGAAGCTGTCGAGGTACAGAAGGAGGAGAGAGACATCTCTGGGTTGAACAGAACAGCCACAGATATTGGAAGGGTTCCGGAGATACAAAACATTCTAAGTTTTCAATATTGAACTGGGTGCAGTGAACAACCAAATGGAATTTCTACATGAACTGGAACTTTTCTGGAACAAACTCTTGTGTGACTCTTTTCATTTACTGTACGAGCACAATGAAATGTCTCCCGTTAAGGCTTCTTCTTACCATGGGGATAAAAAAAAATCTTTTTAATAAAATACCTAAAAAAGCAAAAACAAAGACACATGCCACCATTCAGACAGTTTATTTTCCAGCCAAATGCAAAATTAAGGATGGACTCAGTTTTGATAATATGTTCTCTTTTTTCCTATTGATAAACCATGAACCCATCGATCAGCTGACTTTAAAAGAGAGAGAAATGGCTCATTCCGTGTGTGTACCGATTGAAAGAAACAACTCATATGCATGTGAAAATTCTTTGGAGCTGTGATCTGAATTTACTTCTGTTGTTTACTTCAGACTAGGCATGATAACATTTTACTGTAAAAAAGGGGCATTTCTGTGCACTTATAAAAACTGATTGTTAATGTTCCATGGTGTACAAATAACTTCCTGGAGAGGGGTGGGGTGGGGAGAGAAATATTTCATATTCAAAACACACATTAGTGAAATTGAAGTGTTCAGTTAGTTTAGTATTTATCATTGTTTTCCCTTGCTTCCTTGGTACTGTTACAACTGCAATAATTCAATGTACATCTGTTGTATCAGGAATCAGGCTTTTATTTATATAACTGCACAAATTCAGCTATACAAAACAAAAAAACAGAAACCATGTGGATAATCAATATATCATGTAACATGAGAAAGTTTAATGTTTTAATCATTTAAGGCCAACAATAATTCTATCAATCTTCTTTGATTTTCCATTATCCTGTAATTCCTCAAAGCCAATCTTTGCCTTTCGTTAAATTGTGTTTCTCTCTGAACACAGAGTTTGCATATATGTGTTAAAAAACCTTGATTTATAAGCACCATTCTATATTGTTTTCTGAACTAATTAAGTCTTCCTAGTGTGATGTTACAATGTAGCCAACATCTGATGTAAAACTAACATGGTTTAGCAGTTAAGACCTCTAAAACTGCTATTATATTGCTGTTGGATAAACTAAGCACTGGAAGACACGCAGTTAAGATTTGCTGATGATTACATAAATCTGTTTGTCAAATCTGTTCTGGAGTACTGGGTCAGATATCCTAGCAGGGCCATTCACAGGAGTGGGGTTTTAAAAAGTCAAGATGGCAGCCGTGACTATGTCATCAAGGCTCTGCCCCTTTTTTACATGAGTCACAATGCAGGGCGAGCCACCATCTTTACTTCTTTAATTATCCCCCTCATCCATGGATGCCCCATATCCTAAAATGGATTACAGTTGAAATTAAAGCTTTAGACTCAGAGCTACAAGAGTGTATCACTGTAGGATCAATACATATACTTCACCATTTAAATTTGTCTTTTTGTTTCATTGTCCAAAGAATTTTTAAAATGCTGTTTCAAAAAACCAACTTTCTTCAATTATTTCTTCAGTTATTGTTATCTGCTTAGGAATATGGTAGTTTCCTATCATTTCACATTATTAAGCAAAGCAGTTGACAAAATATAACCAAATCTGGAAAGACTTTCTAAAGAAATTGATATATGGGCCAATATGAAACTGTATTTAACAGAAGGATCTTCACCTGATCATTTTCTCCACCAATGTATGGAAGTAAGTATGTCTATAAATGTCTCTACTGATGTCTTACCAAAAATTATACATTGGATGTTGGTGATCAGATTCCGTTCTCCTCTGTTCTTAAACTATCCAGTTCAAATTACCTGCAACACTTGTATTATTATGTGACCAGTAATACAACCAAGGCATCTCACTTCTCCAGTGCACTGGACTAGGCCTTCATTTGATGTGGACAGGAAGGGCAAGATACTCACTCCACAACTGTGAACAGATTGGCCTGGTCTTGTTGCATTAGTTGAGGGGTGATTTTTCCCCCGAGAATCCAGGGGGTAGGAAAACAGGTAAAACTACAATGGGAGTCGCAGTGGCTTTCTCAGAGACCAGGCCAAACCAGAACTAGTACAAATGGATGCAACATCTTATAGCAATAGCAATTAACCTCTCTCCCTTTGATCAGTATACCTTTCAACTGGACTGTTTCAGAGGAAATAGTTATCATAACATAATATGTAATGTTATATTGCCAGAGCAATATAGAAGCACTCGTACAATTATTTTTATTATAGTGACATTTTTACTGCAGAGTCAGGCTCTAAAATTGGTTAATATATTTCTTGCCAACTTTCTGTAAAAAAGTAACCACAAGGTGAGTTCAAGGTGAAAAATCGTGTGTTTTATCTTCCTCTCCCCTTTCCCCCTTCACTGTGGTGTTGTTTATGATTGACCTTAGTAAAGAATATAAATTATGACGACCATTATTTTAATATTGATTTGCATTTGAACAGCCCTTCCTTGCCACCCTCTGGCTCTACCTGAATGTCCTGCTCTCCACTGTAATTATCTTAAATGATTCTCCTAAAACTTCAGAACCATTTCATTCTTCCATGAATGAATATTTTAAATTACTATTTAATTTTTCTTCCACAAAAGCATTTCCCCATTTTGATGATCTTTGCTCCTGCTGATTTCTGTGTTGACTTTTTGTACAAGGCATGCTAGAAGATGGTGAACGAGTCCTTGATTTCACCATGCAGGGCGTGCACGTGTGCAGCGGATGTTAATAAAGCTGAAAATAATAATTCAAAGTTTACATTCTCTACTCACAGTTATATTTTTTATTACTAACTCACTCTTTGTACTTTGTGCTATAGGAATTTCGGGGTTTAATAATACCCAAATACTAAATACAATTTTCACCAGTTTCTGCTCTTGAAATATCATTGGGTACCTTAATTACATTTGTGGATGCTCCTTTGCTGACACAGGCAGCTCCTGGAGAGCTGTACACGGACACAGATTTTAACACTGACCTGCTTTATTCAGTCCACAAATAGCAACCGGGCTAGAGGAAAGAGAACAGTGCCCAACAATGGAGTGGTGTCCAAACTCCATGCCTTACTTCACAGAGGTTCTGCCCGTTGCCCTAGCTTGTGCATAAGGTATTGTTGTTTTATGGCTACAACAGCCTTACTACTACCTCCTCTTTCTTTTCCCATATTTTTTCAGTCAGGGCCAATTCTGTTCTAAATTAGGAGTTTTATAAGCCAGTACAGACATTCTGGGATTTAAAAACGTAGTCTTTCGTGATGCTCTGTTTGAGAGCATACATGAATGGGAAAGATGGAACACCAGTGCTTAGAGAACGGGATACAGTCTAGCAGTATGTTTTTATTGACTCCTCTGCTCTAGCATTTGGTAAAATTTTGCATAATGCTAGGCCACCCATCACTCATGCAAAACTACTACTGTTTTCTCTGAAATGCAGAAGCTAAACATTCTTTCAGTGTTTTAGGTGATTTAAATGCTGTTTTTGGTAGTGAATGACTTGCGACTGTGTAAAATGCATCTGTACTGTAAATTAAATGTAATTATTTCTGTGTATCACACAAAAAATCAAAGTGTTTTTTTTCTACTATGGGCGAGGTGAAATTTGTATTGTGTTTCAGAAGAACAGTATAACAAGATGTGTTATGCTAAATAAATCAGACATCTGAGGACTATTTAAATAAAACATCTGCATGCTTGAATGGGACAACTGGTTTTGCAATAACCTCATTCCCAGAGAATTTTGTTCCTACTTATATGTCAAATGATCTTGAATGATTGTGGAAAACCCTTGAGTAAAATTTCACTTGAAATTCAGTGTTATTCTTCATATATATAGTTATACAGTACCATACCTTTGGAACATCAAGACCAACTTCTCTTCCAAGGAATCAGAATAACTTATAGTTTATAGTCCTTTTAAGTGCATGAAGTCTCTTTAACAGCTGCGCATACCTAGCTTCAAGTCCAATATTCCAATATTTAGTCATAGCATTGTTCAGATGCTCACCAGAAGGAAACCAGAAGCAATAAATCTAGTGATTCCACAAAGATACTTTGCAGCACGAGGGGGCACAATTGCTACATAATCCTGGGAAAAGACATCATTGCCTTAAAGAGTTACAAAAAATATATTCATATCTCCACATATTCCAAAGCATCTTTTTAAGAATCAGATCCAAAACATTTATTTACTTATATTTCAAATTTGTCACCGCCCCTCTCACATTGCACAGCCCTATTGGATATGCTGCACACTTGCATTCTGGTTTTTATTAACCTAAGAATACATAAATGGAAGCTTTCTGCTCAATATGTATGTATAATCCATACCAACACCTATTTGCACTTTTCATTAGGTGCAATGAAGCTATGTGTTAGTATGGTCAAACAGGATAGATGGCAAATTGGAGCTCTCTCCAAATTCATGCCAGCTTTCTCCCTGCCTAATTGTAAGCAAAGTGAACACTTCTCTAGATGGCTTGTTGGCCTGACTAGTCATCTTTGAGTTGATCTGAGAGATCTCAACATGGCAGGTTGCGATTCTTGGGGTCTGCAAGAACTTCAAAAAAGCAGAACTTCCTGGGCCACCACTGTCCCTAGCTGACTGGGGAAACAAAACCTCCTTCACCTAAAGACTAGCAAAGGAGTGTTCATAATAAAGCATAACTACTAGGGACTGATCATTTAAGGAATCACTATTATAATGTTGTCTGGTCATGCAGCTCTTCAGGAGATACCTGATGCTCTTTCTCCTATTATCAATGTATTTAACTGGCATGCAAGAGAGAACCTCCTGCAAATTCCTAGACTATGGACAGCAGTTCTTCAGTCATATTTAGCATCCTCCTCTCTTTTCACCAGGTTTTTACTTGTTGAGGGTTAATTTTAAAACAATTTCTATTTTAATGATTGTCGCTCATCTTGATTATTCAGTTCAAAGGCAGGATATAAATCAAATAATTATATACATAGAAATAAAATCTTGTGGATGAGAAGTATACCGAGGTCAAGCAATGGCTGTGTTGACATGACAGAACCACAAACAAATCAACCATATCTTAGCTGACCATCTTGTTTCATTCTTGTTAAATGACAATGTTCTGAAGTAACCACTTTATCTTCTGAACTGAGCTTTGGTCAAATCTGATATATACCCCTATTTTCTATTATCAGTGTTCATCAACAAATAACCAACTACTTTAACAAAGTGAAGACAGGAAAATCAAAAGGACATATATAGAAACTGGAAAGAGGATGTCACCAGGCAAAAGGAGTACATAAAATAGAGATGTCAGGAAAGCGAAAGCTCAGAATAAGCTGACATTAGCAAAGGATGCCAAGTACAATAAATAAGGCCCTTTTGGATAAGTCTGGAATAAAAAGAAAAGAAACAGAGGCCAGCTGTTCAGTGAAAAGGCAAAGCGGTAACAGATAACAAGAGAGCCAGTTTGGTGTAGTGGTTAAGGCCTCGGGCTAGAAGATTGTGAGTTCTAGTCCTGCCTTAGACACAAAGCCAGCTAGGTGACCTTGGGCCAGTCAGTCTTTCTCAGCCCTAGGATGCAGGCAATGGCAAACCACTTCCAAAAATGTTCCAAGAAAACTTCAGGGAATTGTCCAAGCAGTCACCAGGAGTCAATGATTGATTGACTACTGATTTGAGGACACAACAACAAACGATAAAAATGATATGCTCAGTTTTTATTTTGGTTCAAGCCCTCTGGCAAAAGACTTTTGAAAGCAAAGCAAAAGCCAAATATGGTCCAAGAGTGGCAGGTCACCCACTAATGGTTTAAGGAGAAACCCTGTCAAAAATTCAAGAAGCCCCAACACAGAGAAATTCCTGGTTCGAAGAAATAACCTTACAGCTAAATTTCATTAAAAACCAAAGGAAAATTAGGAGAAAATTCCTTTTAATGAAACAAATGAATGAACAAGACAATATAAAAGATAGCAGTAGTTTTATTGCTGATCACATTAGTATTTTCTTTTCCTTGCCAAAATTAAGTCCACAGCAAGCTGGGAGCATTTAAAAATCACAAGAGTACAAACTCCCATTTATCCTGGCACTTTCATGCTTTGCTTTTACTGATGTGAATTGTGTAAGAATAAAGGAACTTCACAAGTTCAATACATCATGCTTGAGAGATTAATCACATGGTCAACCACTTAAGAGCTCCTGGGGCTAGAGTTTCCAAGCATTTGCTTCAGCCCAGCCCACGTATCCTCGTCTACCTTCAGCTTGCAAAGAACAACATGGGGTTGTCTAACTTTGACACCCAGGCTGTATCTCTCAGGATACCCAGTCATTTGAACTGACTGCTTATCAAATGCAGAACAGTAATATAGCTAGTCAAAAAAAAAAAATTCTGTAGTACATATAAAATACAGTATGATGCACTTTTCAGAATTCAATAAATATGGCAACTTAAGCCACCAATATTCAACATGAAAAATAGATGCAACATTTTTTTTTTCTTGCAATCTATAAAGATGCTGTCTTTAATTGCATAAATAAGGACAAAACTTCACATTACTTTAAAATTAAAGCTAGCAGATTTATATTGCATATACACAAGGAACCTAATCTGGATCTGGATATCTCTTATTGAAGGGGGCTTTGATGTGGTTCCAATTTGTCTCTCATCATTTCCATTTTAATTGCCAAAAAGTGGTTTATTAAAAAGTTATCCATTGAAGCCCTTTTTTGGCTCAAGATGTTCAAATCAGAATATTGCATAAACAGTTTAATCTCTTTTCCCTCCTACATCAGAATCCCAATCTGGATTGGCTCCCATGCATATTCTCTACAGTAGAAGAAGAAAAAAAACATAGTTTGTAGTTATGTCCCAAAGTAACCTGTTGTTTAGCCCACAGAGCAGCTAATCCATGATCTGTAGTTACAGAATCATAAATGCAGATATAAGTACTGTCATGAGATCAACCTCTCCTTCTTCACTTTCCCCTTCTGCCTTTTCTCACATTCAGCTTATAAACTTCTGGGTTTATTAAGTCACAATTTTATTAAATCACAATTTCCCATGATGATTAAACTGGAAAATGTGGTTTGCATTCTCTCTACAATCTTGATTTGCAAACTGAAGTTGAAACTGTGGTTTACAATCCTGATTTGTAGACAGTATTTAAATTACAGCTTCTTAGAGACTGTGAAAAACTCAACAAGCCATGAAGTCTTCTTTTAAACCATGTTTACTAGAGGAGAAGGGAAAGACGAAGATGTAGATGTAGATGTTGTGTGTTTACACTATAGCAAATCATGGTTTCCTTGAGCAGCAATATGTTTGAGCTGATCACAGAATTGAAATAGTACAAAAGACTGTCTATACTAAGTATCTACTGCTAGGCACCTACTAGACTCCCTTTCCCCAAATCAACCATGTAAATCCTGATGAAAATATGCGCCAGGTAACAGGTGATCCATAGAAAACTTCCTACGAAAGAGATACTTCCACATTATTTAAATAAGCCAAATCATACACTAATATAAAATTCCAGAAAGTTAAGGATAAAGTCTAAGCAAAGTTAAGTATGCATTATTCTCATTGATTTCAGTGGGACAGTTAACTGGAGAGATCATGCTTCAAATTCTTACTGAAAAGTGAGTAGGGTAGGAGAAAAATTGAAATACTTCTCCAAGGAGCTTTTCTTTGGAAACAGTATAGGTTCTCTCTTTAGTAAATTGAGTTGAGTTCTAGCAAACACACATATGAATAGAATTATCTCCTTAAAAGTGAATCATTCATATATATATATTTATATATACACACACAGACATACAGACACATACACACGAACCTGTCAAATATAACAAGTACACTTAGGTATTAATATGTAATTTTTCTTTAGTCCACATAATTTAATTTGAAAATTAATAAGTCATTAAAAATTAAATGTTTCACATATTTCCTTAAAGAAAAGTGATGCTACAATAAGATTATCTTCTTTACAAAAACCCAAACTTCCATACAGATAGCAATTCTACTGTACATACACACACTTTATTATATACATGTCTATCCCTGATCTTTTAGTCAATTACCACAATTATTTTGTAAGAAGAGTTGTAATAGGTTCTTCTTGAGCAATTTCTGTGCCTTAGTGGGACAAACCAATTTTTTGTTTGCTTGCAGGCTATGAGACTTTGATGTTCCAAAGAAATGTTCCACTGATGTCCTAGATGTTGTAATGCACAAACAAGAGGGAAGATCCAAAGTGTCACCTTTTACACAGGTGTGTTTGCAAGTGGTACACTGCTACGTAACAGGATTTCATGCATGGATTTCACTGATAGTCACACTCCAAATGTAAACTATACATCTGCTATACCATATAACCTAACACTCTGTACACAGTATATTGCTGAGCGTTCACATCAGTGTATCCATGACCACAGTGCTACTGTGAATTATTTTTCTCACATCCAACACTGTGTGCTTTATTAAACTGATAAAATTGTAGTATTTTCAGTTTTGTTTTGTTTTTTTTAGATTCTGGAAGATCTGAGTTCAGGGTTTTCTTGGCTATGATTAACAACTGCAGAGGAAGCATATCTGAATGCAACATGTTCAAGAGTTGTGGCTTGCCAGTTACTGTTCCTTGAAAATGAAATGGAAAAATTACTTAAATTATACATAACTGGTACACACTGATTGTCTATGGCCCTATTATCTGTAGGGCTTTCAGCACTGAACAAGTTGTCCATCCTCAATCTAACAGAATTGTTGAAGTGAAAACTTCAAATAGGTGAGAGCCCTAACATTATTCCTGCCTATTTTTTTCACTCAATAGTATGAGACTAGTGATCTATCTTCTACATGGTGCATAAAATCTCATGGAGAATGAAGGATACATTTGTCATTACTCTATAAAACAATTATTTTTAGTATTACAACTGTAACAAGAACAAGTTTTATGAAAAAAGAAAAACAATTAATTGTCCTTCCTTAAGAGCATCTTCATTCCCTGCCCACTTTTCTTTTCTGTGGCAGCTGTATTAAAATGCAGTGTCCAGGATTCATAAAGATGGCTATATTCAAACTGGAGAAATCACAAATTGGCTGATTGCTCTACAGTTCCTCCATTTCAAAGTGTGTGTTGAAGCTGTTTGCCATAGTAGTGTGCTCAAGGATCCTTGTCAGGCTGGGTTTTAATAACTCCACAGAATGACATGACAGGTGCTGGGTGGCATCGTTCTTCAAAGACAGCATTTGATCTGCACTTGGATCCTGGCGGTCGTAATAGAGAGCCCACACCAAAGTAATAGTGAGGATCATAGCCAAAATTTGGGTAACCCCAATGGAGATTCCTAGAAATCGAAGCACCTGCAGCTGCTTAGTTCCTCTCAGGAATGAGTACATCTTTTTGTCACAACCCTGTGGAACAAGAGAAGAAAATTCAGCTATAAAGGAACATGTCTAGGCTGTGCCCAGAAATGCCTGACCCGTGAACAGAAGTTCTGAGTACCTCAAATGGGGCTGCCACTCTCTGATTCTGATCAACGGACTCACCATGATGCCATAATCTAGGCTACACATAGTACAGTTTTATCAGATTAAGTTGGCTACTTCATATTTATTAAAAGCCTTTTCCAGGATATCATGTATTAACCTGCCAAGGAAGGAAAACCTTGTGAGTTCAAGTGGTGTTCCACTGAACTGGACTCAAGAGGGAAATAAAATATTACAGGTGAGTGACTGGCTATAAGAGAGATTTGATAATTCGGGGACCACAGCCAAAGTTATCAGAATGACAGACTGCTGGCACAGGTTGCATTTCACATGGATTGGTAAAAATGCAAGTTAGTCCTCATTTAGTGACTGCCTCAGACAGCAACCATTTGCAGTTCTGATGGTGATGAAAAAGTAACTTTGACACCAATGCCCAATTTACGACCTTCACAGCTTCTCTCTCTGTCACGTGTTCGCCATTACAATCAGTTAGTACATGTTGTCTTGTGCCTGTTTTTCCCCCCCCCCCTTGCAGAGTGTAGAGACTGCCTAAACAAGCTATCTCTTCCTGAGCTGCTTTTCTCCTCAGTGCAACCCATCCCTAAAAAGTGCTACCTGCAAGTTAACAAGCTCAACTTTCTGACCTTAAGTTAATTAGAACCCCCTAGCCAGCTTGTAGTGCTGCCTGAAATTGACCAGACCTTAATCAGTTTCAGACTAAAGGCTTTGATCAGTTAATCAGTTTCACACTAAAGGCTTTCTTTTGCCTCCTAAGCTGCTGGCACAAGAGTGCTAGGCAAACAGCTGAAACTAATGCATTCCTTTCAATGATTATTCCCCATTGTGTGCCTGCTTACTCTCTTGTAATCCCTTCCTCTCCAATGAATGTAAAGACAAACATCAATTCTCCTCTTGCTAATTATCCCAGCGCTGGGATGAACATTCCAAAGTGTGGGGGAGTGGGAGGATTTGCCCTTTTACTCAGGTTCCTTATGAGTCAAGTTCTGGAAACCTTCCCGCCATTTAGGCTCACCCAGCTGTTTGGAGTCATATCCTTCTAACACTGTAAAGCAAAGGAAACCTGAAGTAAAATCGTAACCACAGTCACGGTTGTGTGATTTTTCACTTAGCGACTGCTTTGCTTAGCAACCTAGTTGCCAGTCCCAATTGCGGTGGCTAAATGAGGACTACCTGTATTTGGACAAAGCATAGTAAGGCTCATCAGAATGGTTTCATATTGAATCCTGTGGGAATTAGAGCCTGTGAGCCTAATTAATGTAAGGTTCTCAGACAAAGACCTGTACTATAAAAGAAAATGAAAGTTTTGCAGTAATGAGGCCTATTAGAGCATTAAAAAAAAAAAAAACAATCACACAGAACATTAGCTGTGCATAGCCTTCATTGCTAGTGTTCCGAGTATGGGAAAGGAACAAAATGAGCTTGAACTCATACTAGGAAGAAAACATATATGATTTAATAGGTATAATGAAGACCTGATGCAATGACTCTCACGATTGAAATATATCAATGGAAGAATACATTTTGTTCAAAAGAACAGAAAAGGAGGAAAAATTCCACTCTATGTTAAAAGTATCAATACCTGCTCAGAAATCCAAACAAATGAATTTGGCAATACTGTACAGAGCATCTGTGTTAAAATAAATCAGAGAACCAATAAAAGCAGTACTATTTACTACTGCCTGTCCAACTAAGGAAAAGCTGTGGAAAAGGCTTTCCAAAAGAAAATGCAAATAATAGAGAAAAACAAAATTAAAGTGATGAGGGGCTTTAGTTACTCCAGCATCTGTACCAATTTTAATAAGTGTAGAAATAGCAAGTTGTAGCAAAAAAGCTACGGGAAAAGGCGTATGTATGAATAGAAGCTCTTAAAAAAAGGAAGCACTGAACAATCACAAACAATTCCAATGAAGATCAAAGAATGAAGCAGAGTACAAGCTGCCAACATGGCTGCACAAAAGGTTCTGTGAAGATATGAAAAGAGACACACATCACAGAAAGAGGGACAGATCCCCAAGGAAGAGTACATACAGGTAGCCCAGATCTTCAGACTGTATGACTGCTATAACAATCATGGGTCTATGACAACATTATCCATCTAACATCTGTGAGGAAATGTTTTATTTTCAGCTAGCAAGTGCTTTCTTCTCAAATCCATATTCAATTTGGGATCCAGGCATCTAAAGGATTTTTCAATATGCTAATACAAGTAGTCCTCACTTAACAACGGTAATTGGGACCAGCAACTGTCGCTAAGCAATGCAGTTGCAAAGGGTGATGTCACGTGACTGTGCTAACTTACAATGGCAGTTCCGGCAGTTCTGGTTGTGGTTGTTAAGCGAATCCTCCACAGTTGTTAAGCCTGACATCATATGATTGCCATTTGTGACCTCCTGCCACCTTCCCCATTGACTTTGCTTGTTGGAAGCTGGCAGGGAAGTTATAAATGGTGATCATGTGACTGCGGGACGCTATGACTGTCATAATTGCGAGCCGGTTGCCAAGCACAAGGACACTGCAATGGCCTTAACTTTGAGGACTGGCCATATGTCTCCTCATTCAGTGCCGTCATAACTTCGAACAGTTAACAAGTAGTCATTAACCAAGGACTACCTGTATCATTTTCCAACTGACTTCCTCCAGATATATCCACCCACAGAGGTTTGAAGAAAAGACCTTCTCAATTGTCATGTCTTGTCTATGAAACAATCTGTTCACTGAGATTTGCTTTTGTCTTGTGCATGTTCTTGTGACCTTTCAGTACTAGAGAAGGTTTTAAAAAAAAATCCCATGCTAATTCTGGATTTTTGAATGTATTTTTAATTATACTTCAACGACATCCTGCCAACCTGGAAAGGGGATTGGATTATAATTCTTACATAAAAATAGACGTAAGTAATCAGATATGTTACTAGAAGGCTGCTTTTGAGCAATGCTAGTTACACAATTTTAAAAGTCCAAGTCATTAACATTTTTTTTCCTTTTTACCACAAACCTTTTAACGTATTCACATTTATTTTCCATTGAAATCAGTAAGCCAATTCTCTGTAGATTTCAAAAAGTAGACTAAATTTCAAGTCCTGATCCAGACATTTAATAAACATTCGAAATGATTAGAAGAGTTTGTTTTAAAGGCAGAAGAGAAAAGGAATGAAGAGAAAACAGCATGAAATTGAATAAAAGGGTTCCAGATTTCTAATGGTGGAAATTCAAAAGGCCAATGCAACATACATCTCTCACACTTGTTTTTTCTTTGCTTTGTTTGGGTTTTTAGGAATACTGGAAGCTTGTGGCAAGTGAGAAAAAAACCCCACTTATTGTGTCTCCTATAACAAGTCACTAACAGCTGTCAAATTAAAAGGTTAATAGTTCATCTTCAACCTCAGACAAAATCCTGTACTTAGATGATTGAAGTATGAAGAACGAGGATAAAAAGAGCAGAAATCTAATTTGTTGAAGCTATTAGCCAATGTCTGTAGCTCGTAGTCTTATCATAATGTACAACAGTAAGGTGGAATTTTTTTAAAAGGTTTCTAATAGAGGATGACCAAACACATGGGCAGGAAGACAGGTTAGGACATTTGGCTATGTAATCAAACTTCCCATTCATTAAGGTATTTTACTGAATTTTAAATATACCTTAATGTTTTATGTTCCTTTATAAAGAATTTTGATTATTGGCTGGATTAACAGTGGCACTAATAGCAATATTTCAATAGTATCCTGCTAGAAGAGGGGAATTAAAAAACATAAGGGTCATGCCAATTTTATCTTCAGAAGACTGACTCTATTTCAGCAGAAAAGCCAGCTCTGTATGAGCTGCCCATGAAGCATTTAACTTGAATTTTCAAATTAACCAAGAGTAAGGCTATCAATGGCTGTTGGCCATGGTGGCAGTACTATCTCCAAGTTCATAAAGAGCATACATTTAAATACCACTACTAGGGAACACTACTTGTGCCTTGTTTGTGGTCTTCCTGGATCAGAACAAAACCAGGCAGGACCTTGTTATGCTCCAGTAGAACCTATAATACAGAAAAATAACTCATTTCCTTATAGAAAATGGCCCAGGATTGGACTTTAAATTTGTTTGGCCCCTGAAGGCCACAAGGGATGTATTAGAAAGATCATGACATCATCAAAGTGAGAAGGACCAACTTTTGTAGCCCTTTTTCTGGAAGGGTTTGGAATTGGAGGGGTTAAGGCTGAAAATATCCATGTGACCCCTTAAAATCCTCCCAACCTCAATCATCGTTTTCCTACCTATTCTGGGGGAGCTCTGAATGCCCCCGAAGGAGTGCTGAGGGACTGCATGTAAACCATTTCTCATGGATGCTCATCCCTGTCATAAAAAACAAAGTCTAAGTACCCCTATCAATGTCCTCATGTAGCAGAAGACTTTAGGGTGATGTGGTTATATTGCAGGTGGAAAGCAGCCACAGCAAATACAACACACAGTTCCCAGGCTCAGATGCAGTTTTTTGTTTAATGTCTTACCTCCTGGTAAAGGTCGCTAAGATCTTCATGATGTGCCTGTTTAGAGCATCCTGGGAATTCCCTCACACAGCAGGAGTCAGGAGGCCAATCCATCTCTGTCATTTCCAGCCAATCCGTGAAATACACCACTCCACAGCATTTAAACTGCAAAAGAATCGTTGCCCAACCATGATGCTCAAGGACCACAGAATGCTATGAACAATCTTGAGTTGCATTCCAGCCTGCATCTTTTCTAAAGGAAACCTTATTCTGAATATCGATATTCTAGAAGACACAATGCCTCTTTAGAGATGAAAAGAAAAATAGCTCGGTACATTATCCAAGCCAAACATAATCTTATCCTTCCACTTGTACTTCTTCCATTTTGATTGAACTACATAAATCACTTATGTGTCTGAAGATAGATGAGGTGTTGTGTAAACTTCAAGAAAACCTAAATGAGATTCTTCCCAAAATACAAATGTGAAAGTTATCCTCCAAACCTCAAGGCCATTGTTTCCCATTGTGACTCATCTTGGTAAGCAAAGCCTCTGCTTTAAAAACAAAACAAAAAACAAACAAACAGAAAACAAAAACAAAAACAAAAACCTGGCATGCCTATTAGGAAATCAGTGTTGTCTTTATAGCAAAACAGCCAGAAAAGGGCCCCAAACTTTTTTTAAAAAAAATCCTTTCCCAGCTAAAATTATGTGCTTTTAGTGAAATAAAGGGGTAGGTGCCCACTAAAGTGTAAACCAAGTGAATTCTAAATACTTTCAAAAGTTAAGCAGTAAGTGGTCAAAAATAGCATAATGTTAAAATGGGAAATACACCAAATTAGTTTTATCCCTAAAACTGTAAGTCAGCTTTTCTAATTAAGCCACCTAAAAATCGTTTTGGGCCTGGAATGCATTTCACAAGTATGTCTGTTTCAAAAGCTAAATTTGCATATTTGGCAAGAGAATGCTATTGGAGTTTGGGCATAATTTACAGAAGGCTTATGGAAGGAAATATCTATTAATAAATTGTCACTTCTGTGCTATTAGGATTGGATCAAAGTAATTCTTTTTTTTGACAATTTCAACTTTTTCATTTTCCAAGAACAAGTTTCTAACCCTCATGACAGAATCTAGATTTCTAAATGATATATAACAAGAGGCTGGAGGAGTAAAAATCTTTGCTGGGTTTCTGAGTATTAACAAAAACTCCAAAAACTGTGTCTGATAGAACAGACTAAATCTCAAATAGAGACTATACAACATGCAAATTATATGAGGAATTATGGCCTTTCTGTATCTTGTCCAACTGTCTCTGGACAAGTTTAAATGTCTACCACACAAAGAGTTTTGGGTATAGAAGCTCAAAGAGATATAGCCACCTTTAGTAAGGCCAGCACATTGAAATGGGTGTGCCACTATAAATGCACCTTTAAAATGGAAAAATATTTAAACACGAAAATGTCCAAGTATATTAGGAGGGCGCTTGCTCAAATGAGATTAGAGCTGTTAGATACAATGGTTAAATATAGAAAGTTTGACCAAGTTCCTTGCCATGAACATACATGTATTTCTGGTGTCCCAGAGATAGGAAGACATAGCACATATATTATTTGAATGCCAGTTGTATAGTAAAGAACCAAACATTAGACAAATGGCCCATTGGGATCCATATTTTAGAACAACACATGTTATATGTGGTCAGAGGCCGAATAATACATTCAATATGACTTTTTATTTGAATAAAACAGTACAATTGAGAACTGCATATATGGATCTGACTGGGGTAAAATGTAGGGATGATACAAAAATATGAAATTTCTTTTAGTTTTCTCTTTTACTCTGTTTTGTTACACATGGTCATCATTGTCTTGTATTTTGATATGTCTGATCTGTATCTATTGTATTTAGCTGTGTTTTATAGATTTGTTTTATGAATAGCTTTGTAGATCACTTGGAAAGCACTGGTTACAGGGCAACTGGGAAATTGGATAAACACATACAATTTCTCTGAATAGAAAGATGATCTTGAAGAAATTTTGTTTAGATTTGTGTTCAATACAGTGGTGGCATAAGCCTGTCTTCTGTACTTCTGGACCTGGTCCTTGCTTTGTAATAGCGTCCTTCTCTTCTACCAATTCTCATGTGTGTCCAAGTAAGTGATTTTGGCATGTCCATAGTTAGCATTTATGTATTTACAAGGCTTATCTGCCAATTAAGTTCAAGCAGACTACAGGCAGCATACAGATAGTAAAATTTTAAAAAGTTTACAATATAACAATAGTCTAATAATAATCATAATCTTTTAGTGGATGCACTGAATATTAAGGTTACATCAGAGACCTACTCCAAAAAAATAAAATTAAACTAAGCCACTAAGGAATGTTTATTTCTTCCTTAAAATTTACTGCACATTTACTGCTATCTGTGTAAGAATAAGGGATATAGTCTTCTCATTTGCTCAATGAAACAGGAAAAAAGTGAACTGTAATTAGCACTGATGACAGGTTCTCACCACAAGTGCTCTCTCTGTAACAATTTCAGAACATAGAAACCTACCACCCATTAAGGTTGCAGTTGTTAAAAGAAGACACCAGAGTACAAAGAGAATAAGACCATCTTTTTTCAGGATAAACAAACTAGATTTTTTTTCAGGCTTCTTTCCCTCCTGCCCACCAAAAAAAAGACCAACCATGGCTCTGTTTTTTCCTTAATGGTTAACCTCACAGCTTTTGAAGAATGTAATTCATTAATTGTCCCTCCCACCCCTTATTTAGTTGTTTCTAAAACAAACTTATCAAATTCAGCCAGGAAACTTTTAAATACACAGAAAATCTGTACTACTGTAACAGATTTCAAGTACAGCAAGAGAATGACACCCAATTAAACTGTCTGTGTCTGGCCTGCAAACAAGTTTCTGGAATTGATGGCTTTTATCATGCGGACTTCATATATTTGCTATATAATGATTCATTCTTTTTAAAAATCAAAATATACTTCTGGGCCCCTGCCTCCATTAACGTACAAATTGCTGCTGTTCTCACCTTCAGTTTCATGCAAGAAATAAAACTGGCCTCTATCACAGAATAGCAATCCTTGGAAACCTCGCTTGTGATTGTCTGGAAATAATTAGGCTTTCTTAAACTTTACTCCCAGAGCTCAATTTTAAACCCTAAAGCTTTCAAATCCATTTTAAATCAAAGCCTTCAAAGAATGTGAGATATTTTCACCAGGTACATGTTAAGTTTTTTTTCCTTTCCGTAACATATGCAGATCATTCCTTTTACCTATGAAGAGTAATATTACCATCCTGATTCAGGCTGAAGGTCACAAACTCCAGTACTATATGGCTCAGTTCACATGTAGAACAAAATCAGGATTTTAACCATGTCCTATTGAATGATGCATGATAGCCTGGTAAGTTGATTCATGAGACATACTAATCCTGTATGTTGGACTGGGCTCAGCTTCAGGCACACTCAAAATCAGGGCAAAATCAGTATTTGCCTTCCCTTGTTGTTTATCCTTGACTTAACTTGCTTAACTATAATATGACAAGAGGTGGGGGAAGATTATTCATTTTATTGATTAATGTATTAGAATTAGTTATGAATTATTGTCCATCACATTTACAATTGTAAGGTACTATTATCTATAAAAAGATAATTAAAAATCCACATCTAGCTCATTTAATTTGACTACATAAAAATGCAATTTATTAATTCATAGACATGATTGATTGCTTGATCACTTACCTCTCTCTGGAAGAAATTCCAAGCATGGGTAAGCCAATGATAACGAGGTAAGCCATAATTTATCATTCTGGCTTTTAAAGTGACCATATCTGACCACTGTACAGGGACCTGAGGGGAAAAAAAATTAAAAGAATGTTCAACCACCACAATAGAGAAAACAGAAAACAGAAAACTGTAAACATAACAGCAACTGCAGAAATTGCTTGTTAAATACGCTTCTGAGCTACTTTCTGAAGTGGAATAGCTGCAAAGAGAGAAAATTTCCTTTCCTCAGACCATGAGCCATAAAGTAAGGGTATTAATGTAAATATGTTTATATATAACCATAACATATTCATCTAGCGTTTTTCAAATTGTATTCACATGCAATCCTTATCTCCTTTTCAAGGCTATCTTCATGAGAGAAATTTGCAGTATCAGTTGCTCAGTGTGAGATTGAGCTTGATGTTTCATTACAGAAAAATAATGTATTCTTGCTCCAATAACATTTACAATGTTAATGTTATTGATTAGAGCTCCAAATATTCAGCAGATTCATTTATCTTCTAGAGGAAGTAGACCCTTCAATAAATAAAACCCTCAAACACATGGCTATTGTTTTTTTAGCCAATGCAAGAGCTGATCAAAGGAATAAACCAATAAAATAATCAATTGACTTCGATGTTGAGTATGAAATGCATCAATATGTTGATATATAATTTCATTGTATTTATTCTATTGATTGCTTTTTTAAAAGTAAATTATAAATTTTGCAACATTAATACTTCAAAAGCATATTCCTTTTCACATTTGCAAGACACACTAACTGGGTGCTAAGAAAGTATTTTATTTCCAATTTCAATTTCAAAAGGTAATACCACTTTTAGATGTACATCTAGGTGTGTTTGGTGATCATAAGCTAGACATGAGCCAACTGCTAAAAAGTCAAATGCTACCTTGGGTTCTTTAACAGGGAACACAGAGTCCAGATTATGGGAAGTTATTATTCCACTTCACCCTAGTCAGATCCCACTGGGAATATTGCATCTGTGACAGGGCACCATAATTAAAAAAGGACATGGACAAATTGGAACAAGTCTAGAGGAAGACAATCAAGACATTAAGGAATCTGGAAACCAACTCCTATGTTGAGGAACATGGCTACAGAAGAAATCACTGAGACAACATACAATAGCAGTGTTCAAATATCTGAAGAGTTTTTCCATGGAAGAAGGAATGGACTTATTCTATACTGCCCAAGAAGACAGGATCAGAACCAATGGATTAAAACTATAAAAAAGCAGGTTCAGGCTTGACATAAGGAGGAACAGGTTGCCACATGAGGTCAAAGATGTTCCAGTGGATCCTGCACTGAGCAGGGGACTGAACTAGATGGCCTTTAAAGTACTTTCTAACAACATGATTCTATGATTTTCATGTACCATGATCTGCATTAGAGAATGAATAAAGTTAAGCCAAATTTTGCTTCTTTCAACCCAGTAATACTTTGAATTAAGGCTGATTTTGATAGCTGTTTATATAATCACTGTTGGCTATTTATCTATTGTTGCATTCAGATTACTAGGTTAGCTTTTTTTTCTTTTTCTTTTTCTTTTTTGCGGGCACGGGTGGTGGAATAGACACTGTGTAATAATTTAGATGATATCCTTTCCCAGTTGAGTTGCAGGTATCTTCAGATTTAGATGAACTCATTTCCATGGCCTTTATTAATTTAAAACATTATTAATGTTTTAAGTGCCCAACAGCCAAAGCTTTCTGGGCAGTTTACAATAAAACACACTAAAAATACAATCTGAATAGAAGCATGTACAATAAAATAAAAACACCATACAAACTAGACAGCTGCAAGGTAGTCATTCAGACATTAAAACATGAATTAAAATGCAATGAAAAGCCAGTTAAAAAACCTGGGGAAATGAAAGGGGCTTCACTGGCACTGAAATGATGCTAACGTGGATACCAGTTGAGCGTCTCTGGGGAGGGTCTTTCATAAATGGAGTGTCACCACAAAAAAACTCTCCTTCCTTACCTCCTTTGGCAAAGGGACCTGCAGAAGGTCCTCATTAGATGATCTTAAAGTCTGGGGAGGTAGATACAGGAGAAGGCATTCCTGGTCCTAAGCCACATCCTTTAGGGCTAGTGTGGACCCCTCCAGGACAGGCAGGATGTCACTTAGATGCTAAGTATCTGTCCACAAAGAGTATCTCTGTCTTGTCTGGATTGAGTCTCAGTTTATTGCCCCCCATCCAGTCCATTACCCTGCCCAACTACAGGTTCAGAACACCACTCCCTCATCTGTGTTAAATGAAAAGGAGTGGAAGGTAGATACCAGGAAGATACCATAGCTGATGGTATCAAAAACTATCAACAGAGAGGTCCAAGAGGACCACTAGAGGTACACTCCCCCTGTCCATTTCCCAGCTCAGATCATCCCACAAGCTGCCCAAGGAAGCTTCTATTCCATAGCCATGCATGAAACCAAACTGAAATCTAGAAAATCTCTCCTCCTTTTCCCAGTCTCTCCATATGACATAATGAGTTAAAAGAAAAAAAAAATCTGAAAAAGCAAAATCATCGAAGTTGAAAACAGATGGTACAATAGACTTTGTCTTTACTTTTCACCAAGTTTTCACAACATATAAGGATATATGAGTCCTACTGGATCAGACCAAGAAGCTATCAAGTTCAGTATAGAGTTTTCAGAGAGGTCAAACAGATGTTCAGGAGAAACCCATGATTAGGACTATGGAAATTTCAAAACTTTCAGGGTAGGATGGTTGGTTGCATCCTCTGCTCTTATTCAGCTTTGCTAGTTCTTCCTCAAACTTCTGCTCACAGCACAGGGGTTTTGTTTACTTTAATATTACGTCCATGTAGCTGACATATTGGCTAGTGGAGTGGGGATCCTTGGTTAATATCGGTTAGGTTTTGTTGTCCCATTTATATTAACAGTATATATGCATTTTGTGTATGAGAGAGAGAGGGAGGCAGGGAGGAAAAAGAATTGTTTCCTGTTGGTAGTTATGCTTCCTATTAATTAATTGTGTAGTAAAAATGAAATTACCATGCCATGACATTGAGTACTATGTTAAATGACAATCTCAGAGGAAACTGGAGAGTACATTTCAGTACTATCTGCTGGGTCACCTGAGGGTATTCTGCTGCAGCTACACATGGAATTAATTGGTTAGCTAAGCTCTCTTGCTGGAAGCCCTCCTGTTTTGTAAAGATCAACACACGTAAACCTGGAAAAAGAGGAGCTTAATCTAACCTAGCGTCTAAGCAACACAACTGAAATTTCAATCTTAAATTTAAATGGAGATTTCAGGGAATGTCTGGTCATCTACACAACACCTTTGTAACTACCAGCTGGCATCTCAGGTAAAAATGTTGCTGTTCAGTAGTGGTGATGTTCACACTTATTTATTTATACCCTGATTTCACCTGCAATGCAAGTGATTGAAAGAAATTGTGAACATATATCCATAGTCCTTCTTTGCTAGGGGCACCCTTCAAATCCCAATAATTTCCCCACATACAATAAAAAGATAACAGCATGCATTTTTTTAAAAAAATTACATACTTTTATAGTGAAGAAAACAGCATACTGCAAGAAATTATCTGGAGGTTCCAGAATGAAGATAAGTTTACATGATTTCGTTATTATCAGTGTTTTCATATCAAGTAGACACAAACTTTTCTGGACTTCTAAATAAAATTTATTTATTTCCAAAAATGCCCAGGCCTAACCTTAAACCAGCATATGTTTTTCATGTTCTTTCCCACAAGTTTATACATGGAATATATTGAATGCAAAACTACATTCTACATGAAAAGTATCATTTGTCAAATAAGAAACAAATCAGCCCTTTCCTTTTTTTCCCATTTTTTAAAAGGTTTATAAATGCCTGCATTAAAAAGCTCTTCTTTGGGCATTCAGGTTTCCACTAAATTGACATCAAATTGTGATACAGCATAGATTGACTTTGGCCCAGTATCTTCCTTAAATTCAATTGTTTCACAAAACTAGTATCGAAAAATAAACGTTCTTCCCAGTATTGACTTAAAGCCTCTGCAATGAATAGCAACCACTGTGAATGAAGCAACACATCTTCCTGGTTAAACATTTTATATTATTTCCTACAAAAAATGAATCAGTTCAGTTCTGTTCTAATAGGAAACAAGGTTTTCCTGCTATGATGGCAAACTAGAGCAGCGCACCCCAGCCCAGCCACACTTCCTCCTTTGTCTTTCCTCTCCTCTTTTATATGCCATGGGAAATAATGGAAAGCTTAACTATCCCCTGGATCTGGGGAATCATGGTCAATATACTAGCAATGGAGATTAAACCTGGATTTAAAATCAGTTTGATCCTGGTTTCTTCTGAATAACAAATGGTTTAATACAGGAGATAAGGAGATGTAGTAAGTTAACTTCTAAACCAGATGTGGAGAATTGTAGCCCTCAAGATATAGCTGGATTCTATGTAAATCATCCATGACTGTTGACCATGTTGGCCAAGGCTAATGAGGACTGGTTCCCAACATATCTGGAACACTATATGCCTGACCCCTGTTTAAACCATGAGCTGTAATCTGTAAACAAATGGCAAATGTATTTGCTGAAATGATACAATTTACTCAATGCTTGGATAGGAGACTTTCTGAGAATCCCACATATACCTCAGTGATAGAAGAAAGGCAGTATATATACTGACAAATGGCAAAGGGATGTTCAGTTCAAGTGTCATTTCTCTACATTAATAAAATACCAAGGCAATGTGTAGAAAAAGAAATCAGAAAGAAAATAATCATAAATATTTCTAGATAACATTTAGGCATTACACATACTTCTATACTGGCCAATCAATTCAACTCAAGGTGGTTTACAAGAATTAAAAAAAAATTCAAAGTAATCAAAAATAACTGCCTAAAATCAAGAATATAAAAACAATACCAGGGGGAGAGGCAGAATATCACCAATAATTATAGACATATTTACTTAGACTGGATTTCCGCAAACCACTGATTTGGTAGATCAGTGATTGTCTAGGATTTCTGAAAGTTTCAGTTTCAATTCATCTGAAGGATGCTAAATTGGGGAAAGCTGTGACATCAGTCCAAGGTAAGTATACTGAATGTAATATACTGTATACAGAACGAACAAATCTTTGAAAGTAGGGCGACAAAGACAAAAGATTGGCTTTTACAACAGATGGAGACAATTAAGGTGTGTAAGTTAAATATAACGTAAGTACAAAGGGAAATACTAAAAAGAAATAAGGAAAGTTTCCAAGGTATTTTACATATACCCATATCAATGGGAAAACACACACACAAGCCATGCTTGGACAAACATCTGCATATTAAGCAGAAATAAACAAATATAGAAAACTGCAATGTGACAAAATTTATGGAGGTAGTTAGCACAAAACACTACTTCATATATGAATTTGCTTTTCCTTCAAATATTAAAAATTGTTGAAAGGACAGAAATGATGATTAATACTTCAACTGAAGAAAAAAACAAAATAAATATGCATCATGGACAATGCATCTGTGATGTATTCACAGTAAAATGCTATTTTTTTTTTAAAAAAAGATCAAACTAAGATTAAAATAAAATTTAAAAAAATATAAAAAGCCTAGTGAACACAATAAAACCAAACGTTTGATCCTAGTTTTAATTTTGTAAATGGAAGGAACTTATACTCTGGAGGGTAGAATTCCACTTGCTGAATGGATAGTCCTGCAAATTAAACTCCTATTCCACTCATCCAACCACAGGTATGTATTTATTTTGTAAATATACTTCATTTGATTTAAATGAAATTTTGAACTGAGATGCAGTGTTAGTTAGACCAGTCCCACTGATATTACTGTCAATATTTTATTTTTATATCACTCTTCCTTGAAATTGCTCATACAAGTATACAAAAAGAATACATCTTTAATGTGCAAAATAACAACAAGCAGTAATAGAAACACCTATCCTAAAACCAGACAACAAAACAGTAAAAATATAAGAATATTCATTTTCCAAAGACTATGTGGTCCTAAAATAGTTATTATCCTGCATCTATAAGTATCTTCAGTTGTAATTTAAAACAAGGGCAGGATCAGCCATATTTCCCTTGGAAGAATATTCTACACCTGGGATGTTGCCACTACAAAGCCCTTCTCCAGACCATCACACTTGAGCCATATCCACTGATGGAACCAAGCTCAGGGCCTCCACGGCTGAATTTAGAACTTCTAGTACCTTAAACACTATATTCATGGAGGAGTACTTTCAGAGACAAAACAAAGTTTTATAGACTAATATTAACACTCTAACTTGGCCCCAGAGCCCTCAGGTTATGCTCTGTGCCATGCAATGAGTTCAGAACGGTCCATTTTCCTAATTTCTAAGCTTAAGTACTAATTTAACTAACTTAAATCCCACTGAACATAAGGCTGACTACATCTTCATCCAAGCAAAATAATTCAAAGCAATATTTAAAATCAGAAAAAATGTACTGCATATCTAGTATAAAAGTGGGAAGCAGGAAGTATTTTAAAGCATCTTAAAAAACCATGCAATGTATACAAGTTTATACATTTATTAAATTAGTAATGAGGATAGTCTACATTCCTTGGTTGACAAATCAGATACCAAGTTCCTTTTTGTTCTTTTACATTGAAGTAATATTTTCTGTTGTCCTGTTTTAAAATATACACATATTTATTTCAAAACATATCCAGAGTGACTTCCAGCAATAGACTTTGCAAGCTAGTAACAGCATTTTACAGATGTGTGGATGGAAGAAACAGGAACACAGTCCACATAGTAATTGCTAGAGATCCCCAAATAATAGAGAAATGCGATGACCTTTGTACAGGCCCAGCATCAACCGAAAGGAGGGCCATTATCATCCTGCAGACCCCTAGACCTTGCTGATCCTCCTTCTTGGGGGCATTGTCTGTTCATCTGCCCAGTTAGAGTAAGGCCCACTGGGGAGGCTCTTCCTGAAGCTCCTAACCCTTCTACAAAAATGTCTATTCCTTGTGAACATTTTCCATTTGCATCTGTTTGCATCCACTTTGCAGCCCTTGCCAAGAAGCCTCAATTCTCTCAAAGCATTTCTTCATCAAAATCTCAGAGGAGGATAGCAGCACTCATGGGGTGAATGAAACACATGAAGCTATGCTTCCATTTTTATTCTGACATTTCGACAAAGTAATATTTTTAACTGTAGTTATATTTGGAATGATAGCCTCTCAGTGGAATGCATATAGCAGGCAAATGAATTTTGATGAAAACTGTTAGCATGCAATTTCAGCTGAAGGAAGTGCCAGAAATTCCTTCAGTCCCAGAAGAAAGAAAGAAAGAAAGAAAGAAAGAAAGAAAGAAAGAAAGAAAGAAAGAAAGAAAGAAAGAAAGAA